TTTCGTACTACTCCCTGTATTTTCTCATTACACCCACCATTGTCTGTCCCTGTCTGCCAGAATCTAAAATCCATCCCTCCCTCCCCTCTCCCTTCTCTCCTCTAAAACCTATCTTCTTTCTCTCTCTCTCTTTTTCTTCATCATCAAAGAAAAAAGAACAACCCCAAGATGTCTCTTACAATCCCAACTAATCTCTCAAAATCGCTTTTGAAGCCAAAGCTAAACTCCTAAGTAACCCTCAAAGTTTCAAGGTCATTGGTGGTATGCTCAAGCACTCCATCCTCAGACAAGAATTCAACACCATCGGCTTCTCCACTCCAAGCTTTCTCAGCTGCTCTTGCTCTTTCTTCCATTCTTCTTTCAGTTCCGAAGCCTGCTGTAGTTGACATTTCAGGGCTAAAACCATGCAAAGAGTCCAAGCAATTTGCCAAACGTGAGAAGCAGCAGATCAAGAAGCTTGAATCATCGTTGAAGCTTCACGCCCCTGACAGCGCACCAGCTCTCGTTATCAAAGCCACCATCGAGAAAACCAAGAGACGTTCGACAACTGTGAGAAATACGGACTGCTTTGTGGCTCTGATGGGTTGCCTCATTTGATAGTGAACGGTGACCAGAGTCACTGGGGTGAGTTCATTACGCCAGGTCTGTTGTTCTTGTGCATCGCTGGATGGATTGGGTGGGTTGGAAGGAGCTACCTGATTGCTATAAGCGATGACAAGAAGCCAGCCATGAATGAGATCATCATCGATGTGCCTTTGGCTACCAGTCCGCTCTTCAGAGGCTTTCTTTGGCCTTCGCTGCCTACAGAGAGTTTCTCAATAATGAACTTGTTGTCAAGGACGTGTAATCTCCTCAGCCTCAGGTCTGTCTCTCCTCTATCTCATCAAAATTTTCTTAATATTTTTAGATTAATTTATGTATCTTGTTTGCCATATATTTTTTCTTGAATTATCAAAAATATTATTCTTTTTAACAATGATATGTTTATAAATAGGATGAAATATTGTATGTTAGTATGTAGGAAAAAAAATGTTTACCATATTCAGATTTAAATTGTGATATATCCATCCTGTGAGTTGTCTTATTGTCTTGTACTATTCTAAATTTTAGAAATAAGGGTGAAATTCATGAGATAAAACGAAAGGGAATTGTAAAAACAGAAAATTTGTCTTGTTTTTTTGTTTATTATTAAGTTTTTGTTCTATGTGATTTTCCAGGGCACAGTAATAAAATGGATCGACCACTGGTATAGGGAGGAAGATGGGAATGCATTAGACTGAATATTGTTTGTTCAAGACAAGCGTCTTGGGAAATTTCTTGTACTTGAAATGAAATTTTTTTTTCACTCAAGTGCATGTAATGCTAGTGTTAAAACATTTGGAGCTGATCGACTTTCCATTTCAATTTTTGTCATCCAAATTCATGTGACAAAGTGTTATAATAATGTTAGAATACCATGAAATCTTTTAGCATCAATTTAGATGTTTACATTATGTTTGGATACATATTAATAAAAAAAAAAAAGTTTTTTTTTTTTAAATACATATATCTCTTGTTTGGATAATTAAAATTAATAAAAAAAATCTAATAACCATTTTTTGAACAAATAGTGAAAAAGAAAGTAAGTAATTCATTATAATTTTTTTTAATTATAACCTTTTTTTTATAAAATAACATAATATACTAATACATTTTTATACTACCTAACTTATATAAATGTATTTTTCTAAATAAAATTGAGTATGTTTAATACAATAATATGTATTAATTAATTCTTATTATATTCATAATTTTGTATTTAATTTAATCTTTTAATTTATTCTAACAATAATTTAGCTTGTTTTATTGTTAAAACTTGAAAAATCATAAAATATTTATAAACTATGATATTATATAAAATACTTATCAAAGAAAATTATTTTTGTAGTCTTAAATTGAAGTATTAAAAAAATGATGACTACAAGAAAAATTAAAAGTTATTGAGTTTTTTTTTTCTTTTTTTTTTTAAATCAAAAGTTTATTCAAACAAAGAAAAAAATTTTTTATTTCTATTATTTTCTTTTATTTTCCTTTCCTTTCCTTCTCCTTTTCTCAATCCAGATATAATGTTAATTACCAAGAGACAAGAAAACCTAAACAAGAGATACATATGTTTCAAGTTGGCATGGTCAGATTAATAGAAAATTATAACACTTTAATCTCACAAGGGGTTATTGTGAGGATTCGTTATAATATATATAAAAACTTAATTAATATTTGCGAGGCGTCTTTTATAAAAAAATATGGTGAAACTTTTACGTTGCAGGTTAGGTTGGGGGGTTTCCACGAAAATAAAGTGAGAAAAAAAAAAAAAGAAAAAAAAGAGAAAGAATTGCTCTGTTCTGTAGGAGAGACTGAAGAACTGAAAAATGGTCCAAATCTAATACAATAGTTAATAGCCTCTTGGCTAACTCGGGTACTTTTGCCAAAAATAAAGATAAATGGCCATTCTGCAACTGGTTCGCTCCTGTCACCTTGTTATGGCACAAACTAAATGGAGAGAAGAGACTGGTATTAGAGAGCCAGGAACTTGGTCTGGTTCAAACTAAATCCATATCTTTAAAGCTTATGAGTTAATTCTAGTTCAATTACGTTGTGAAGGCAACGTTCTAGCCGTTTTCATTCATCTATTTAAGAATCTCCTCTGACGTACAGAAATTGATGTGGGAAATTGTCTTTTCGTTAGTATTGAACTTTGTTTAAAGTAGTTGAGCATCGTTGGAAATTGTCTTCAAATACCAGTGTTCTATAAGACAGCCGATTTACACTTCCAGCTCTTGCATGCCAGACAGCGCCATTGAGCGGCAACTCCATTCATAACACTGGCATTCTTGTCAATTTACATTCAATCTACAAACCTTCATATTTATAAATGGTCAAGATTATTATAAACCAGCCTTCTTGGCATTAGCTACCTGATAGTCATGCGAGAGAAAGAAGGCGTGAACAAGCGGTTGAAACAGGAAAACTCGGGTCCCGTTGTTAGCCCATCTTTTTAGCCAATGTCCGAAGTTGTATAGCCCTCAATGTTGGACCTTAATCTAAGTTGTAAACTTGCAATTATTTTTTCCTTTCAGCTAAGTTTTCCACATTGTTATTGGACTACATACAAACCAACTTGGGCCTTGATCATTCTAGTTCTGGTTATTTCTTGGTTTTAATCACCCTTGATACATCCACAACTGAAACTGCAATCTGAGAAAGAAATAGTGAATGTAAAGTTGTATAAAAACAAATCTAATTGGTTTGCTTAATGGAATCTGAATTGCAGCCTTGGCATGTATGAAAAGGGTCCTTTTCCTAGCGTTGACTTGATGACAGGGTAAATAATGGCCATAAGTTATCCCTTGAATTCAAAATCATAATCAACTTCTTAGTGTTTAGAGTTTAGGGTCCAAATAAAATGTGGGTTTGCTGGTTAATTAGCCTGTCTAAATCATAGCAAAGGGACATAATGAGCGGGTGATTTGACTTATAGAAGTCCATAATGGTGGGTACATATGTACACATTCCACCAACCCCAAGCTTTCCTTCTTTGAGAGGGGGTAGAGGAGAACTAGCAATCCTCAATTCCTCATTTCAAATACACCTACCACTTTACCATTGGCAACCCTACGGGGGAGCATAAAGAAACTGGTAGAGGTAGTGATTTGCTTTTGGTAAATTTGTCAACAATTTTTTAGCTCATAGTAATTAGTGTAAAACCTTTGACAATTTTACTGCATTCTTGGCAAGTTTCTTCCTCCAAAATTGATTTTTTTTTTTCATGGCCAATCACTTTTCTTTTGCTTTTGTTTCAACATTAAGATAATTAGGTTTATATGTTTTCCTCCCCCATGTGAGGTCAAGTCTAAACAGATGGGAAATATTCATTTCACCATTTTCAGTCTAGGCTAGAGTACTGGATCTGGACATGATTGGTATAGGGTTGGACTTTCTGTAGAATCCCGTGCTGCATTATTTGACAGCACCCTCATATCCAACACTTATTTTCTCCAAATCTTAATATATATATATATATATATATATATAATATTTGACATAATTGATTGAAAGAAATTATTAAAAGTAGGCAAGAAGTCTACATTTGCATGTTAGCCACATTAACCAACCTAAACAACTGACCTTTCAGTACATAGCAATTCCATGAGCTTTAACCAACTGAATTATGATTAGATCACATGCTTCACAAATGACAAGACCTTCAAGCTCAAGGTGTTTTGTCTCTATTTTTGAAGAGAGACCAATTTCTGTTCAAAACGTTCCCTCCAAAAGTGTTAAACAAATCAAAGTACAGATTCATCATGGAAACAGAAGGAAATTGTTCTTTCCCAGCACTCCCCCCCCCCCCTTTTTTTTTGTCAATTGCTTGCTAGACTTTTCCTTCTTACCACCATATCTTGATTTCCCAAGTCCTTGATTTTCTGTTAAAATTTTGAACTTGAATAAAAAGTTGCAATAAAATTTCTTTCAACTAAACCAATGGAATGCTTTCACTTTTCTTTCTCCCCTCTTTTTTCATGAGTTGAAAGGTTCAGTCCATAAATTAGGTAAATAAAAAGCTATCCATTAGCCAAGGCAAAGTATACTAATGGTGTTGACATGCAGCACATGATAGGTAAACAAACACTACAAAAAGTATAAAGCAGTCATCACATCAATTAGATAAAATGGAGAAGAAATTGGTGCACCAGCCTCAGTCCATTATATAAATTACTCACTATATATAGTTAAAATTATATATGTACATCATATATAGTTAATGACTAAAACCCTTTTCAAACCAAAGCTAAATGACTTCGACCACCACTCTAGCCGCCACAGCGCCGCGGCTGCTGCCACCATCTCTCTTTTTCTCTACTCAAATTGCTGTATACAAAAAGGATTACAGGATTATATTAAGAGGGAAATTAAGCATAGGGTGACAAAAATTTAGCCTATATATATATATATATATAAAGCTAGCATGACCACATGGACTCTCCCAAGTTAGCGTGGTCCACTACCATATCCATGTCAAAAATGGGCTTGGTTTGTGAACCCACGAGCTTAGATGAGGGTGACCCGCTATTACTGGGGCTGTCAGGACCGAACCCATGATGTGAAGAGGTTGCGGTCTGCCACACCCGGAGGTGCACCACCTCTGCCTGTGCCAGCGCCAATTGGGTTTGAAGGGAGTCTATCTGCTGCTGTAGTGATGATATAGCTCCGACGCAGCCGTAAACGGGGTCACGTACCCTGGCGTTGGCCTCATAGACCATGCTACTGACCGCGTCCCCACGCTGGTGAACCGGCAACTCCTGCAAGTTTTGTAATAATTGGTCAGCTTTGGAGAGCCCAAAAGGGAGGGAAACAACAATAGTCTTCGCCACATCATCGGTGTTATGGTGTGGGCCGATGGGCCTGAAACCCAAACATTATGAGCTCATTGGTGACATCATTTTGATATCTTCGCCTTGCAGCATTTTCCATGTTTAGAACTCCAATAGCATTCAGTTGAACTTGTCAACAGTCCAAAAGAAGAGGAAGAAAGCATGAAAAGGTATGTTCTTTTACTTTATGTTTTTTTTATCTTTACTAAGTGATTCGAGGGCGCCAACTTCTGATTTATATTTTACTGGATGCTCTCAATCCATGCAGCTTGCTTTTGGGGCTAGATTTTGATAACTCATTTATTTATTAGTTAGTGAAAAGACAATATTTCCCTATTTCAATCGAAAGAAAAAAGAGTTGGTCAAAGAAACTTTTTTTTTTTTTTGTAATTTTCATTAGAAAAGCAACTAGGAAACATCTGCACGTGATCTCCAAATGATGTTGAAAAAGGATTAAAACGTGTGGGTGGAGTAATCAAAGAGCTGAACACTTGATTTTCAGTTCTAGAGTTTCTAGCTTGCTAGGTCCTAGATAGCAAATCTAGGCAACTTAAAAAGAGAAAAGAATGGAACAAGTTCTTGTCATTTATCTGGAGGCTCTCTATACAGGGACACGAACTGTTGATTATTTTTGGTTTCATCTCCACCTAATTAAAATGAAATGAAATGAAACGAAACAACTCATGACTAGCCTAATCTCTACTTTTGTGCCAAAGTTTGAGACTATTAGCATATGATTTCCCCCTCACTTGGACAGCAGTTTCTCCCAAAACACTTCAACAAATTAAGATGATCATTACTTTTTATCTGCTCAAATTAAGCTATTAGCATACAGTAATAAGTTAATCAAGTAATGGCTTTAATTGTGGGCATGTAATGTAGGATGAAGATAATTAAATTTCTCATGGTTTAGTGAATCTTAATTCGTGAAGTTTAAGCTTGGGAGAATGAAGAAGTCATATTTTACTCTTAGCAAAGAGGGCGCTCCCAAACACTACCAAGTGTGTTGGTGAGAAAAGAAAAAAACTAAGCGGAACAAGTGGTAATATAGAAACCTGAAGCATCTTGTTGACATTGCTAGCACCAAACACCTTGTGCACATTAGCAAACTTCTGGGGCTCATCTGCAGGGAAATAAGGAGCAAAAACACAGTCTTGGGCACACCTTCTCCTTAGAAGTTTGCATGCTGCACATGGTGAGGCTGCACCTTGCTTCCTGCCACTCTCCTTCATGCTTGCCCACCTGTCTATCTATATGTCCTAGGGCTACCCTCACTACTAATTTTAATTATTAATTAGTTTCTCTTGCAGCTGATGTATATAACCTAGATTACTAGAAGCTGAAGGACAAAAGAAAAGAGCAGGTAAGTAAGGAGAAGAAGAAAAGGTAGCAAAAGAGAGAGAAGAGACTTGGTATGCTGGGTTTAGAGGGGAGAAGTGGGGTGGTATTAAATATGCAAAAAAGGTCAGTACATCTGAGATGGACAAAAGACATCTCCAGTGACATGACACCTTTGGCTCCAAATTTCCTATCTTTTATTTATGCATTTTATTATAAACTTTTTCTAATTAATTCTATTTTATTCCCTTCTTATAGATATATAATGTATTAGTAGTAATCCTCTCATAAAACGTTTATTGATATTGGATTATAGAAAATGATCATATTTTAATTTCTTGTGATAATTTTTTTTTTATATAAGAGGAAAGATTTGATTTTTCTTCTAGGGATTTGCTTAAGTTGGGTAATTTTATTTGGTAGGGTCCCTAAAATTTGATTGCGGTATATGTTGCATGTTAGAACTCTTTTCAAGTGGTGTGAAAATGATGCATGAGCATGCCTAGGAGCATAACATGCTAATTAATGAATAATTCAACATTAATCATTATAGTAATTCTCCCTTTTTCTCTTCATGTGCTAGTGTGAACTCATGGACTGGTTAGGGAATCGGAATATACTGATCAATAAGTTGAAGATACTGGAATTAATTGGTTTAATTCAATTTCTTTTTCTTATTTCTTCTTCATAAGATCAAATCATGGACATCGGACATGTTGACTTTTGAAACGAGATTTCAAAATAATATTTCATTCACATTATCTTATTGATATATTTTATCATAGTATAAAATAAATAAAATTTAAAGTCAAACTTGATGAAATTATTGATGGAAATACTATTTGTTATAACATTAAAATTTTGAGGATCAATAAATGACATTTGAAAGTATAAAGACGAATATGAGATGTAACAAAAAATTTAAAGATTAAATCTTAATTTTAAAAAATAAATATATTAATTAATTAAATTAAATCTCAGTTCGATTTTACTTTTTAATTTGCATGATTACTATTAATTTTCAAAACAGAAGGTTTAGTTTATTTTGTACAAAAGTAAATAACCATGACGACCTGTCAACTTAGTGATGATTTGCTTACAAGATTACGATGAGATTAAGATTTAGTTAAGCAAGCAAATTAGGCATTTAAGTAATGAAATATAAATTTAATTTTTTGGGATATTCTAAAAAAAAAAAACACAAACCAATCTTACCTGTTTCTATGTTTTCATTTGTTTGTTCTATTGCTTTAAACTACTCAACCCAACTAAGAAGCATGCGTACGCCTAGGCTGTATTCACACAACTCAACAGTTTCAAGATATAACCAACAAAAAGTCAATAATTTCAACTCGAGAAGACAACAAATTTTCAAAGTTTTTACGGTACACATATAAGATATATTTGATATATAATATTATAATAAAATATAATAAAATAATATTATAAATTAAATTAAATTAAATAATTTTATATTTGATATATATAAAAATTACGATAAAATAATTTATTTATTAATTAAATTATTTTTAAAAATTTTATATAATTTAAATTATCAATATAATTTTAAATTTTAAATTTATATAATTTTAAAGTTTTTTTTATTTTGAAAAGATTAAATTATTTTATATTAAAAGAATGTATGATTCTATCATTTTTTTTATATAAATTAAATATAATATAAAATAATAATTATTTTATTATATTTATATCTTTATGCATCAAACATAGTCAAAAAATATATATATATATATATATATGTGTGTGTGTGTGGAAGAACGTTCTTTCTTAAACTTAGGGCATTGTCGTACTCATATATGATAACTTTACTTTTTTAATTGGAACGAGGACTTTGAAATCAATTTTTTGAATAACAAAAAAATATGTATAAATTATTGAATTAAATACTATTAAACGTGACAATTTTACTCATTTTTCTAAATATAATTTCACATTTTGAAAACATGTAATAAAAGTCATGTGGAAAATATTGACATGCCATCTAGATTTTAATGCCAATTACAATAATTGATCTGGAATTCCAAATACTGAGCTCTTTGGAATTTGAAAATTAAAAAGTAGGAAAGCTACTTTGTTAATTGTTATGTAATTTTAATTTTAGGAAATTTATACAAGGCTGGCCTTCTTTTAAATTTGCTGTTTTAGCTCTAAGTTGCAAGTGCATTAATGAACAGTGCCTAGTTTGGCAAAGTATACAAACATTTCAACATTGACTTTGTTAATTTTGTTTTAACTTTTTTTTTTTTTTTCATATTTTAACTGCGATTCGTTTATTACAAAAAATTATATAATTTAAGCAATAATGGTATATTTATACATCATGAATAATTAAAGCTTACACTAAATTATAGTATATATAACCCCATGCACTGCAAAATGATATCTACTTGTTATTATTAATGTGTTAATGGGTTTGAGCAAATTGAAGTGATCAAGTGCCTTAACACTAACTAAACCAACATAATCATGCGTATCTACTAATTATCCTTAATGTGTGTGTGTATGTATATATTTTTATGAATAGATAATTTTTTTTATACAGTAATTTAAAAATAGAGGATGGAGTTATAGATATTAAAATTTAAGCAAATTAAAGTGATTAGTATCTTAACGTACACCAATTAACGAACATAATTATGGGTATCCATTTATTATCTTTAATGTGTGTATATATATATATATATCATGTATATGAATGAATAAAATTTTTAATCAAAGTCTGTAATCTAAAGATAGATGATGAAATTATAGATATTGAAAATTAAGCAAAGTGAAGTGATTAGTGCCTTAACTACACTAACCAAACCAACATAATCATGGGATATCATGGATAAGATATTTTACTATACCACTTCCATTGACAAATATAAATATTTATATATATATATATATATTTTTTTTTTCACTCTCCATTTCAAGGGGGACCAGTCAGGTGGATTTTGTGCATGCTTAATATTTCCAACTTGGAAGTGCTTGAATAATTAACTTTGGAAATGCCCTTTGAAAATTGATAGTCCATATATATATATATATATATATGTGGATGGGTTAGCTATAAATTTCAACTCCTTTACCTTTCAAAAGTTAAAAATATGTTTAAAATAGCTGGCCATTTTCAGCTTTCACTTTTTCGGTGTGATCAGGTGAAAAATCAGATAATATAAGCATAAATAAACAAATAAATGCGGTAAAATTCAAAACTCTTGCATATACATTATTAGCTTTGTTAGTTCATTATTAGAATATGTTTCCAATGAGAATGTGACTTTCAATGTGGCATCAAATCATAGCATTGAAATTATATAATGCATGATTCCTGTCAATGAAATTTTACTCTAGCAATAAAGAGGAAATTATGAAATTTTAAACTAAATTTTATTTTATGTGAATTTAATTTAATTTAATTTAATATTAAAATTAAAAAAAGAACACTCTACGTAAAAAAAAAAGAACACTCTTATTTGTAGAAATTGATTATTTAATTGTGACTCAACGTAAAAGGAGGAATAGTACGGCCGCTTCATTAAGCCCAATGAACTAATTCGACCCAATAAAATTCTAATAATGATACCTTTGTAACAAAATTGGCGTTTTTTTTTTCCCAACAAAGAAAGATATTACAACAACTTATCACGTTGGCCAATCAGAGCAATAAAAAAATATCAGTTGACCTCAAATATGGATAGTTTATTATTCTGCAGTTAATCAATTTTAGTTATAGGGAAAAAATTAAATAATATACAAAATTTGATGAATTATAGCAAATTATAAGTAAGACACCCAAACATTAGGTACGAATTACGATAATTATTAATTAATATGAATTATTTTTTATGCTCTTGCAAAGACAAACAAGAAATCATGACATCTATCTATTGCTGTGGAACATCGAGAGAGAGAGCACGTGCAAATGTCAGTATCAGGGGGAAGAAATAGTCTCAATCCTAATGCGGGACCTGGGCACCGAGCAGTTAACTTTTGGAACCGTCCGTTAGAACAAAAAAAATATAATAATAAAAAACATTAAAAATTATATCAAAATAATATATAAAAAATAAAATATTTAAATTTAAAAAATTAATAAATAGATAAAATTTGATTCGAATCGAATTTAAATTTAATAATTTTAAATATGATACGATAATACGATATAAAAATATTACAAAAAAATTGTATATAAATTTAATATAATCGTATTTCGTGTCTATGATTAGGACATAATATTATTCGTATCATATTTGTATCAAATAGTGATAACACATTTAAAATATGATACTTTTCATTAGGGGTGAGCAAATATCGATTCAAACTAATTTAACCAATCGAAACCAATGAAATATGGTCATTCCGGTTTGATCTAGTCGATTTTCGGTTGTAGTCGATTTTGGGATCGATTAAATTGGTTAAATCGATCGGTTATCGATTTTCAAAATTGATAACCAATTAATCGAATTAACCGATCTTATAATAATTAATGATAAATATGTATATTCTCTCAAAAAATCCTAAATTTAACTTACTATTTTTAGCTCACCTACGCCGTGCCCCTCTCTGCTCTTTGCCTCTCTCTCAGTCTCTTCATCTTTGCCTTCCTTTTAGACTCTTGTTCCACTGCTTCCCTCTTAGTCTCCCGCTCCCTCTAATTTGTTGCACAAGATTTGCACAATATCAGAGTTTGATAGTTGTAGAGATCTTTCTTTGTTGCACGAGACTTAGCTATCGTAAGTTCCTGAATCTTGATAACCTTTATTTTTTCCTTGTTTAGGGCTTTACTCTTCCCGTCTGGTATAAAAGCTAAAATAAATTAGCCTAAACTATGCTAGATACTTAAATTGTTCGTTGATAAAACAAGCAATAATATATAGTTTAATCAACAGACTATTTCATTATTTGAATATCCAATGTGTTCAATAATTGTGTGGCCACTATATTATTATTATTTCATTATTTGAATATAATTTTTTTATTCATTATTTGAATATAATTTAATTATTTATTATTTATTGTTTGGATTAATTTGATTACTTTTTTTTTTAAGATGTCAAATGAAGTGGATGATATGACTTT